TCTCTCCTCTAGGACCCTGGGCCCCTCTTGTAGGCCCCCCTGCCGTGTTGGGTCCTGTTCTGTAGGCACTGTGGTTGTCAGCAGGGGCTTAGGAGTATGGGCCCGGATGCCAGCTCTGCCCCGTCCGAGCCGTGTGACCCTGGACTGCAGTGTCCTAGACGCTCCCTGTGCGGCTCATTGTGAGGGGAAGTCAGGCGATGGCACCTGAGCCCCCGGCCGGGGCCTGCCAGGGCGGGCACTGGGCCTGGCCAAGGGCCCTGGTTCCCCTGGATGTGCTCCTGCTGTCCGTCGGTCGTCCCGGTTTCGGGTGACTGTCCACATTCCTGCAAGCGTTCCTGCTTTTGCTGCTTCGTTTCTGGGCAGCTTGAGGGAGGCACAGGCGCACGGGGCCTGGCTCGGCCTTATCTAGACGCTTCCCTCCTCCTGAGCTGGCGGTGAGACGTATTTTACCGTGTTCACCCTTGTCTGTGTCACAGCCGGCTTCGGTGTCATTTGTCAACCTGTCCTTTTTTTCGCAGACATTGTTTGTTCCCACAATGGTAATAATTTCCTTTCAAAGCTTACGACTCATTACAAGTTGCCTAGTAGGTTCCTTTAACTGCTTCTTTTGCCCTTTCTTCACCACAGGTGGTTCTGGGTCCCACACCTTGTGGGGCATTTCGGGCGCCCCTGCCCTGATTTTGTACATTAGAGGAGAGCTGCGGTTTGTTTTCCCCATCAGGGTGGCGGGATGAGGCTGCCACACGCCTCTTGGTAACAGCTCACGATGGATTTTTTTCCACTCCTTTGCTGAGGTTTTATTAGTAAAAAAATGTTAATTTTGTTTAAAATTTTTTTTTAATGTTTATTTATTTTTGAGAAAGACAGAGCGCGAGCAGGGGAGGGGTAGAGAGAGAAGGAGACACAGGATCCGAAGCAGGCTCCAGGCTCCGAGGCGTCAGCACAGAGCCCGACGCGGGGCTCGAACCCGCGAACCATGAGACCGTGACCCGAGTAGAAGTCGGACACTTAACAGACTGAGCCCCCAGGGTCCCCAACGAGAGTTATCTGAGCCCCCGTATCTGAGCTTCCACGTCTTCACAGGGAAGAAAGCACTCCAGGGCACAAATTGTTTTCACAGAGTTGTATACGTTTTACATCTCGTAAAAGCTCAAAAGATGAGAGATCAGCACATAGGCCAGCGTCCCGAGTTGTATCGTGAAGGAGTTCAGGGGCAGGAGCTTTGCTCGATGTCTCCAGGGCAAGATGGTTTTCCTTCAGGCTGCTGTCTCACGAGGCACAGGCACAGTGTGCACGTGAGCCATAAACCAGGCCTTGGGTTCCAACGAAGTTTACGTACAGTCATGCTGACTTAGAAATCTAAAGTGGAGCCCCTTGTATGCGAGGCCCGTGGAGAGTTTCTCTCTCATCGTCGCGGACGCACAATGTTCTATTAATTTCAGACGTACAACACCGATTCAACAACGTCTGTACGTTACTCAGTGTTCACTATGGTAGAGGCAGTCTCCGTCTGTCACTGTACGTTATTGCAGAATTACTGACTTTATTGCCCAGCTGTACTTCGTCCCTGACTTGTTTACTTGATCACTGGAAGTTTGTACCTCTTAATCCCCTTTACCTATTCCATCCATCCCCACACCCACTTGCCACATAGCAACCACCAGTTTGTCCTCCATACGTGAAAGTGTTTTTTGTTCATTTGTTTAGATTCCACCTTAAGTAAGAGTATATGGTATTTGTCTTTCTCTGACTTATTTCACTTAGCCAAATACTCTAGCTGCATCCATGTTGTCACAAATGGCAAGGTCTGATCCTTTGTTGTTTTAAGCATTTATTTTATTTTGTTCATTTCTGGGGAAGTAAGCTCTACACCCAGCGTGGGGCTTGAACTCATGAACCAGAGATCAAGAGTCACACGCCCTACCGCCCCAACCAATCAGGCACCCCAAGATCTGATCCTTTTTTATGACTAATACTCTCGTACATTCCACATCTTTGTCGTTCATTGTCCTGTGGATGGACACTTGGGCTGCTCCCATATCTTGGCTATTGTAAGTAGTGCTGCGTACACATAGGGGTGCAGATATCCTTTCAAGAGAGTGCTTTCTTGGGTAAATACCCAGGAATGGAATTAGTGGGCCATATGATATTTCTGTTTTTAATTTTTTGAGGCACCTCCATTCTGTTTTCCGTGGTGGCTGCACCAATTTACATTCCTGCCAACAGTGCACAAGATTTTCCTTTTCTTCACATTGTCGCCAACAGTTGTTTTCTTGTCTTTTTGACTCTAGCCATTCTTACAGGCGTAAGGTAATACCTCATTGTGGTTTTGATTTCTATTTCCCTGATGATTAGTGATGTTGAGCGTCTTTTCATGTGTCCGTTGGCCATCAGTAGGTCTTTGGAAAAATGTCCACTCAAGTCCTCTGTCCATGTTTTAATCAGAGTGTTTTGTTTTTTTTTTTTTCTGTTGAGTTGTATAAGTTCTTTATATATTATGGATACTAATTCCTCATCAGATATATCAGTTACAGATATCTCCTTTCATTCACTAGTTGCCTTTTTGTTCTGTTGATGATGTCCTTTGCTGTGAAAAAGCTTTTTCCTTTGGTATAGACTCTGGTTTATTTTAGCTTTTGTTTCCCTTGCCTCAGGAGACATAAATATGTTGCTAAGGGTGATGTCCGAGAGATTACTGTCTGTTTTCTTTTAGGAGTTTTTTGTTTGTTTGTTTCAGTTCTCACATTCAGGTCTTTAATGAATTTTGAGTTTATTTTTGTGTATGATTTAAGAAAGTGGTCCAGTTTCATTCTTCCGCATGTAGCTGTCCAGTTCTACCAACACTATTTATTGAAAAGGCCGTCTTTTCCCCATTGTATATTCTTGCTTCCGTTGTCATAGATTAGTTGACAGTATAGGTGTGGGTTTATTCCTGGGCTCTCTATCCTGTTCCATTGGTCTGTGTATCTGTTTACGTGGCAGTACCATATTGTTTTGATCACTGTAGCTTTGTAATGTAGTTTGAAGTCTCAGATTGTGATGCCTCCAGCTTTGTTCTTCTCAAGATTACTTTGGCTGTGGCAGGTCTTTAGTGGTTCCATATAAATTTTAGGATTATTTGTTCTAGTTCTCTGAAAAATACTATTAGTATTTTGATAGGGATTGCATTAAATCTGTAGATTGCTGTGGGTAGTATGAACATTTTAACAATATTCTTCCATGAGCATGGTATATCTTTCTATTTGTGTCATCTTTGATTTCTTTCATCAGTGTTTTATAGTTTTCAGAGTACAGATATTTTATCTCCTTGGTTAAATGGGATGGTCAAAATGGATTTTTAAATTTTTTCTTAGTCTTTATTTTTGAGAGAGAGAGAGAGAGAGAGAGAGAGAGAGAGAGACAGAGTGTGAGCAGGGGAGGAGCAGAGAGAGAGGGAGACACAGAATCCGAAACAGACTCCAGGCTCTGAGCTGTCAGCCCAGAGCCTGATGCAGGGCGTGAACTCACCGGCGATGAGATCATGACCTCAGCTGAAGTCGGACGCCCAACTGACTGAGCCCCCCAAGGGTCCCCCTTTAGACAGTTCTTAATGTAATAAGGAGGTAAACACATGCATGTGGTTTTTTTCCACATACTGAGCCAAATCTGCCATCTTGGATCTCTTACCAGCATCTCCTGGCACCGTTTTGGGTCCTGCGTGGCCTTTCTGTCCTCACCTCCCGGCACTTGGTGCCACCCCCCAGCTCTGCATCCTGAAACCCTTGCCGCTCTTGGGTCTCCTGCCCACCCACCGCCGGGTAGCCCATCCAATTCCGTGGTTGTAAGCGTTCACCAGGTGCTGACGGAACCCAGACCTCTGTGCCCAGACCAGCCTGTCCCCTGAGCTCTGGCCTTCAACGTGTAGCCTGCTTGGCTGGTAATAGCCATGCGAATTCGGTGAGGCCCTTTTCAGGCCCTTAGAACCCTCAGTAAAATAGGATTTCATCATCAGACGGGGAGGGAAGACAGGCCACAAATGAGAGAGTAATGTGAGGGCAGGTAGTGACAACCACAGAGACCAGGAAATGAGCGTGGGGGAATATGGAAGTCTTGAGGAAGTGGCATTTGAGCAAAGATCTCAGTGGCGGCTTATTTCCAGCTTCAGGGCATCGCAAGTAGGGTCCCACACAAGTCTTTGTGTGGACCCGCGCTTTCGTTTCTCTTGGCGACGCCCAGGAGCTGAGAGGCAGGAGCCTGTGGCGGATGTAGTGACTCCGTTCCCAGCAGCGGCGTGGGCGGCCTCCAGTTCCTCTGCAGCTGCGTCAACACTTGCCGTGGTCAGTAGGCCCTCACTTCCTCAGCCGGTCCAGCAGTGTCACGTGCTCTCCTACTGTGGCTCGAACTCGTGTTTCCGCGATGGCTGATGCCCTCGGGCATCCTTTCGTGTGCTTCTTCCCAGTTGATACGTCTTCTTTGGGGAGCTTGCCCAAAGTTGGGATCTTTTGCCCGTTTTCTTTAAGTTTTTTTTTTTTTTTTTAATTTTTTCTTTTAACGTTTATTTATTTTTGGGACAGAGAGAGACAGAGCATGAACGGGGGAGGAGCAGAGAGAGAGGGAGACACAGAATCGGAAACAGGCTCCAGGCTCCGAGCCATCAGCCCAGAGCCCGACGCGGGGCTCGAACTCACGGACCGCGAGATTTTGACCTGGCTGAAGTCGGACACTTAACCGACTGGGCCACCCAGGCGCCCCTAAGTTTTTATAATCCTTTATGCATTCTGGATGCGAGGCTTTTGTAACATATATGTGTAGCAGCCTGTAGCTTCTATTTTCATTTTCTGAACAGTTATTTTAAGAAGGGTAAAAGATTTTAATTGTAATGAATTTCTCAGGTCTTTTTCTTTGATACTTTGTGATCCTTGATTTCAGGAACTTTTTGCCAGATCCAGGGCCACTAAGATTTTCTTCAGTGTAAAAGTTTTGTAGTTTTGATTCTTACGTTGAGGTGTATAAGCCATGTCGCGTTAATCTTTGTCCGGGCACGCTTCGGAGATATTGCAGGCTGGGGTCCACCGCAGTAAAGCAAATCCTGCGATCAAGTGAGTCAAATGAATCTTTTTGGTTTCCCGGTGCACATAAAATTTATGTTGATAGTGTGTTGTAGTTTCTGAAGTGTGAAGTGTCTAAAAAAGCAATGTACACACCTCAATTTAAAAATACTTTCCTTGCTGAGGCACCTGGTTGGCTCAGTCGATGGAGCATGCGACTCTTGATCTCAGGGTCGTGAGTTCCAGCCTCATGGCGGGTGTAGAGATTACTTAAAAATGAAATCTTATAAAGTAAAAATAAATTTGGGGCGCCTGAATGGCTCACTTGGTTAAGCGTCCGACTTCAGCTCAGGTCACGAACTCACGGTTCATGGGTTCGAGACCCGCATCAGGCTCTGTGCTGTCAGCCTGGAGCCTGGAGCCTGCTTCGGATGCTGTGTCTCCCTCTCTCTCTGCTCCTCCCCTGCTCACACTCTGTTTGTCTGTCTCTTTCTCTCTCTCAAAAATAAATTAAGGTTAAAAAAATGTTTTTAAATAAAAATAGATATTGGTAAAAATGCTAACCATCATGTGAGCTCAAGGGACAGCTGCTGACTGGGCACTGTGGCGGGTGCCGAAGGCTGGCGTGGCCGTGGCGATTTCTTAAAATAAGACAACAATCAGCTTTGCTGCACTGATTAACTTTTCCTTTCAAGGATGATTTCTCTGCAGTACGTGTTGCTGTTTGATAGCATTTAACCCACAGAACAACTTTTAAAATTGGAGCCCATCCCCTCTCACCCTTCTGCTGCTTTATCAACGAAGTGTATGTCATATTCTATTTTTAATGTTTATTTCTTTTTGAGAGGGAGAGAGCACATGTGCGAGTGAGCAGGGGAGGGGGCAGAGAAAGAGAGAGACGGGGATCCAAAAGGGGCTCCACGTTGACGGCAGAGGGCTCAGTGCGAGGCTTGGACCCACGAGCCGTGAGATCATGACCTGAGCCAGAGTCAGACATTTAACCGACTGGGCCACCCAGGTGCCCCAAGTGTGCGTCATATTCTAAATCCTTTTTCACTTCAGCAGTCTTCATGGCATCTCCAGCAGGAGTAGATTCCAGCTCAAGAAGTCACTTTCTTTGCTCGTTCGTAAGAAACAGATCCTCATCCGTTCAGGCTTTATCCCAGGACCACAGCGATGCAGTCACCTCTTTAGACCATGCTTCCGATCGTGGTGCCCCTGCTGCTTCTGCACACTTGCACCCTTCCTCCCCTGATGGCTGGACCCCCTGAAAGTCCTCCGTGAGTGCGGGAGTCCACTCCTTCCAAACTGCCATTCGTGTTGATATTTTGTCCTCTTCCCATGAATCACCAGTGTTAATGTCATGTGGGATGGTGAACTGGTGAACCCTTTCCAGAAAGTTTTCAGTTGACTTTGCCCACATCCGTTAGAGGAATCCCTATCTGCGGCAGCTAGAGCCTTGTGAAACGCGTTTCTGTAATAATAAGGCTTGAAAGTTGAAATTATGCCTTAATCCAGGGGCTGCAGGATGGCTGTGGTGTTAGCAGGCATGGAAACACCCTTAACCTTGCTGTACATCTCCCTCAAAGCTCTGGGGTGAGCAGGTGCACTCTCAGCAGTAATTTTTTTTTAATTATTTTTTTTAATCTTTATTTATTTTTGAGAGAGAGAGACACACACAGAGCACGAGAGAGAAGGAGACACAGAATCCAAAGCAGGCTCCAGGCTCCGAGCTGTCAGCACAGAGCCCGATGTGGGGCTCGAACCCGTGAACCGCGAGCGAGATCATGACCTCAGCCGAAGTCGGACGCTTAACCGACCGAGCCACCCAGGCGCCCCTGTCAGCAGTAATATTTTGAAAGGAGTCTTTTTTTTCCTGAACAGTAGATCTCGACAGTGGGCTTAACATATGTAGTCAATCATGTTGTAAGCAGATGACTGTCATCTGGCTTTGTTGTTTCTTTTCTAGAGTGGAGGCAGAGTAGACTTAGCATAATTCTTTAGGGCCCAAGGATTTTCTCCATGGCCACTGAGCATTGACTTCAACCAAAAGTCACCAGCTGTGTTACACTGGTGAGAGAGTCAGCCTGTCCTTTGAAGCTTTGAAGCCAGGCACTGACTTCTCCTCTCCAGCTATGACAGTCCTCAGTGGCATCTCCTAAATAAGGCTGCTGCACCGACATTGACAGTTTGTAGCTTGGCACAGCAGCCTGATTAATGACCTCAGCCTGATCTGGAGAACTCGCCCCAGCTTCTGCAGTGGCACCTGCCGCTCTTCACCTGCAGGCTCACGTGAGGGAGGCAGCTTCTCTCCTCAACCCTCATGAACCAACCGCCGCTGCCTCCCAGCTCACCCTCTGCAGCTTCCTTGCCTCCCTCAGCCCCCACAGACTTGAGGAGAGTCGGAGCCTTGCTGTGGATCAGAGTGCGGTTTGAGGGTGTGTTGTGGCTGGTTTGAGCTGCAAAAAGGCCGTTTTGCTTTCTCGTCTCTGTGTGTTCGTTCACTGGAGCGCGCTTTTAATGCCCTTCGGGATCTCTTCCTTTGTAGCCACGGCTCCACTGTTTGGGGCCAGAGGCCTAGCTGTCAGCCTGTCTCGGTTTTCAATGCGCCTTCTCACCGAGCTTGGTCATTTCTAGCTTCGATTTAAAGTGACCCTTGGGGCGCCTGGGTGGCGCAGTCGGTTAAGCGTCCGACTTCAGCCAGGTCACGATCTCGCGGTCCGGGAGTTCGAGCCCCGCGTCGGGCTCTGGGCTGATGGCTCGGAGCCTGGAGCCTGTTTCCGATTCTGTGTCTCCCTCTCTCTCTGCCCCTCCCCCGTTCATGCTCTGTCTCTCTCTGTCCCAAAGATAAATAAACGTTGAAAAAAAAAATTAAAAAAAAAAAAAATTAAAAAAAAAAAATAAAAAAAAAACAGACAGACGTTTGACTTCTTTCACTTGGACACCTAGAGGTGATTGTGGGGTTATTGATTGGCCCATTGACAATGTTGTTGTGTCTCAGGGCAGGGAGGCCTGAGGAGAGGGGGAGAGACGGGGAGCCAGCCAGGCAGTGGAACCTTCAGGACACGCACAGCACTTACCTCTCCAGTTTGCTGTCTTAGGTGGGCGCAGGGTCGCGGTGCCCCAAGAGACTTCTAATTGTAATCTCAGAGATCGCTGAGCACCATGACAAGTACGGTAATAGAGAAAGAGTTTGAAACATGCGAGAATTACCAAAATGTGGCTCAGAGACACAAGGTAAGCCAGTGCTGGTGGAAAGTGGTGCCGGGAGACTTGCTCGCCACGGGGTCACCGCAGACCTTCAGCTCGTAAGAAACGCGGTGTGTGCAAAGCACGATAAAGCCAAGTCCTATGAAATGACTTACGCCTGTATGTGGTGTGAGGAAAGAACTTAACGTTATTCTCTTAGACGTGGCTACCGAGTTTTTCTAGAACTATTTGAAGAAACGATCTCTCTGTCGCATCACCTCGACCCTTCTGTCGAACATCCATCGATTGTGGTTCAGCCAGTGGAGCAGGCGACTCTTGACCTCAAGGTGGTGAGCTGCAGCCCCGTGTCGGGTGTAGAGATCACTTGATGACAAATAAGTAAGCACATTTTTAAAAAGAGAAAAGAAAACCCATCGATTGTCTCCGTGTGGACCCTCTTCTGTTCCTTCAGTCTGTGTCTGTGTCGGTGCCACGCGGTCTGGTTATGGTACCGACCGCGAAGTCGGGTGGTGTGCTTTTCCAGTCTTCTCTTTATCCCGGGTCCTCCACATTTGCATTTGAGTTTTAGAATCAGTTTGCCATTGTCTTTGGAAAAGTCTGCTGGGTTTTTGTGTGTGGGAATTGAGAAGAGTCTGTGTACCGGTTTGAGGAGACCTTCAACTTCTCCAGTCTGGGAACAGGGCGCGTCTCTCCAGTTACGTGCTTCCTTCATCTCTGTCAGCAGCGTTTTGTAATTTTCAGCGCACAGGGTTTGCACCTTTTACTGTTATTGAGGTGTAAGTGGCATGTAACCAACTAGTTTCAGGTGTACAACGTAACGATTCGGTGTCTATATGTGGCGCAGTGACCACTACGGCGAGTCTAGTTAGCATCCCTCACCACACAGAGTTCCAGATTGTTTCCTTATGATGGCAGCTCGTAAGCTCTTTTCTCTTAGCAACGTTCAAACGTCCGCTCTTATTAGTAGCTAAAAGCCTCCTTGCTGTATGTTACATCTCATGACCTAGAACTCAAATTAGGTTTTGTACCTTTTTTGTCGACCATATCCCTCCATATCTTGTATTTCAGTGCTATCGTAAACGGTGTTTTTAAATTTAGATTTCTTATTGTTTGTTGCTAGTACACAGAAATATAGTTGACATTTGTATATTGATTTTTTTTCTTCTGTAACCTTGCTAATAAACTCAGTTATTAGATGTAGTCACTTTTTTTGTAGATTCCTTACGATTTTCTACATAGAAGATCATGTCATCTGACAGTACAGGTTTTTTTTTTTAAAGTAGTCTCTGCACCCAGTGTGGGGCTTAAACTTACGACCCCGAGATCAAGAGTCACACGCTCCACCGACTGAGCCAGCCAGGCACCCCTGACGGTAGAGTTTTACTTGTTTCTTTTTTTTCTTTATGCCTTGTACTTTGTTTTCCTGCCATATTACACTGGCTGTGGCCTCCAGTACAGTATCGAATAGGAGTGGTTATACCAGACATGTTTTTGTACGTTTTGGTTTTTATTAAAGATTTTTTCGGGGCACCTGGGTGGCTCAGTTGGTCGGGCGTCCGACTTCGGCCCAGGTCATGATCTCACAGTTCGTGGGTTCGAGCCCTGCATCGGGCTCTGTGCCGACAGCTCAGAGCCTGGAGCCTGCTTTGAATTCTGTGTCTCCCTCTCTCTCTGCCCCTTCCCTACTCACACTCCATCTCTCTCTGTCTCTCAGAAATAAATAAACATTGAAAAAACAATAAAAAAAGTTTTTTTTTTTCATATATTTGGATAAAACATCAGTGTTTCTCAAGCTAGGAGGATATTAATCTAGGGTAGTGTTGTCAACTCCAGCTAAAATTTAGAATCACTTGCGGAGCTGATGCCAGGGCACCTGCGTGACTCCGTCCATTAAGCATCCAGTTCTCGATTTCGGCTCAGGTCACGATCCCAGGGCCGTGCGTTGGAGCCCCCACGTCAGGCTGTGCGCCGACAGTGTGGAGCCTACTTGGGATTCTCTTGCTCTCTTCCTCTGCCCTGCCCCCTATGCATGCTCTGTATCAGGATAAATAAACATTGAAAAAAAAAAAAACCAAAAAACTGCTGATGCCTCTTGGGACACCTAGGTTAAACGTCTGACCCTTGATCTAAGCTCAGGTCTTGCTCTCAGGGTCGTGAGTTCAAGCCCCAAGCTGGGCTCCGTGCCCAGCATGAGGCCTACTTTAAAAAAATTGCAACAAACTACTGGTGCCTTTGGCCTGGGTTGGGTGTAAGGATTCTTTTCCGAAGCTCCTCAGGGGGTTGGAAGGTACGGCCAGGGTGGGAGTGCAGGGACACCGTCACCTCTGACCTGAGCACCGAGGCCCCTCCTGTCCGTGGGCTCTGAGCTTCCCTCGTGCCTCCTGCCCCCCGGTGCCAGCCTCTGCTGTCCTCGACCCTTCTGTGGAACGCGTGGCTTGGTCACGTGTGTTGTCATCTCATTCCCGCTCCCTGTGAAGCGGGTTGTGCGGCTGGTTCCCCTGCTGGGTTCCACCCGGGGTGCCCCCCTCAGGGGTCTCCCTTCTTGAGGAGCTCATCCCGCCTGCTCTCCCCCAGGGGCCCCGTCGCCCTGGCCCTGAGGGGGGCTGGCCACGGTCTGCGTAGACCACTGCCCGTGTAGCCCCTTGGTCTGCGCTGCCCCCGGCATCCTCCTCTCCCCCAACTCTGCTGTTCTGCAGATTGTCCTGCGTGCTGCTCATTTCCGCCTCTACTTTGGTCACCTCTTCTACCTTTCTTAGGCTTCTCTTATTCCTTTCCTAGCTTGACAGGGTTAAATCTCAGCTCACTACTCTTCATTCTCAGACACTTCAGCACAGCTCACTGGAGCAGCCTAGACTTTGGCTCGTGTTTCCATTATTCTTGTCGTTGCGATATGTTGTGATGTTGGCTTGATGTTCGTTTTGAACCGTGAGTCGGCTGGGAGGAAACTCACGCGTTCCCGAGTGTTGCAGGATTGTTTCCTTTGTTCCTACTTTTTTGTCTTTTCCTGATTTTATTGTACTGTTGTCGGAAGATAAGCTTCTCTACCTTCACTAGAGTTTGGAAATCGAGTTTTCTTTAAGACTAAAATAGGTCAGGGGGCGCCTGGGTGGCTCAGTCGGTAAAGCATCCGACTTGGGCTCAGGTCATGATCTCGCGGTCCGTGAGTTCTAGCCCCGCGTCCGGCTCTGTGCTGACCGCTCAGAGCCTGGAGCCTGTTTCAGATTCTGTGTCTCCCTCTCTCTCTGACCCTCCCCCATTCATGCTCTGTCTTTCTCTGTCTCAAAAACAAACGTTAAAAAAAAAATTTTTTTTAGGGGCGCCTGGGTGGCGCAGTCGGTTAAGCGTCAGACTTCAGCCAGGTCACGATCTTGCCGTCCGTGAGTTCGAGCCCCGCGTCGGGCTCTGGGCTAATGGCTCAGAGCCTGGAGCCTGTTTCCGATTCTGTGTCTCCCTCTCTCTCTGCCCCTCCCCCGTTCGTGCTCTGCCTCTCTCTGTCCCAAAAATAAATAAACGTTGAAAAAAAAATTTAAAAAAAAAATTTTTTTTTAAAGACTAAAATAGGTCACGGGTGCTTGGGGGGCTCAGTCAGTTAAGCGTCTGACTTGGGCTCAGGTCATGATCTCACACTTCGTGGGCCTGCTTGGGGTTCTCTCTCTCCCTCTCTCTCTCTCTCTCTGTCTCTCCCCCTGCTCGCATTCTCTCTGTCTCTTAAAAATAATAAATAAATGTTTAAAAAAGCTATTAAAAAAAACTAAAATAGGTCAGTTTTGACAAATGTTTTATTGGTGCTGGATTGAAAATTCAGGCTTGTTCGCGGGGCCCAGGGCCCAGTGTGTGTCTTTCTCACTGGGCTCCGTGAGTGTGTCCATGTACCTGTCCCGCACTGAGGGGCGTGTAACACTGGGCACCCTCAGTTACTGGTTTCTCCCTCGTAACGCGCCATCTCCCCTGCCTGGGCCCTCTCCTCCCAGTTGGCCCTTCTCCTTGTCCGTGGGAGAAACCTGGCACGGCCCCAGCAGGTAGTTCTTTCTTGTTCTTTGACCTTTAGATTCACTAAAAACCACAGGCAGGTTCCTGAATTCTTAAATATCCTTCGGGTAGAATGGGATAGAAAGAGACTATCTCAAGTCCTTTGGCAAATAGGACTGCATTATACATGCATAATGGGTGCATGCGTGTGTGTATATGTTGTTTTGTGCATATGTGTTCACTTACTTTGTTTTATCAAGGCATCAGTGTTCTTCTGATCCAAGGCCTCATTTACCCACCATGGAAACGGAACAAGAGAAAGTCAGCGTGAGCAAGGCGCCTGGCACAGACTCGGCCTCTTACCGCTGCTCCGCATGCCATGGGGACGAGGCCTGGGGGCCCGGCCATCCCACCCGGGGACGGGCCAAGTCCCGCAGCCTGTCTGCCTCGCCCGCCCTGGCGAGCACCAAAGAGTTCAGGTACGAAGGCCCCCCTCCGGCCCCCGTCCTCACCTGCACACTCTGACTTCCTAAAGCCGTGACCGAGGTTCTTTTCAGGAGTGGATGGATGCGGATGGGGCGGTGGATGCTGACTGGTACGTGTGGGCGGCAGGAGGGGTGGGGCTGGGTCCCAAGAGCAGGGGATGGACGCCCACCTGGCGCGGCTCCCCAGATGGCACCAGCACAGCGTGACTGTCCTTTTCTGCCTTAACAGCCAGTGCCCGCGCTAACTCTGGGTGTTTGGGGGTGTGGGCACTGCCCCAAGGCGTCAGCAGGCCTCACACTGTGGCAGGGCTGGTGGAGGGCTGAGCGTGGCCGCGGGGTGCCCTCCCCCCGCGAGCCTGCTGTGCGTGTCGTCGCACAGAGTGCTCAGGTCACAGCGCTCAGAGCTTCGTGTGGAGCGGCCTGCCGGGCGGCATTGCGATGCGCCTGTGGGTGTCGCCCTGGCTTCTGGAACAATAAGTGTGGTGAGTTTCAGGTAGAAGCAAGCAAGGGTCACATCTATCAAATGCCAGGGGAGATTTTGGTAAAAAGCGGGTAGTTCTCTCAGGAGAGGGGGACGAACCCGAAGCACCCTTCTCTTGGATGGCGCACAGTGCTGGTACGGTCTTCTGTGTGGACAGCTGTAACCCACACGCGTGGGAGAGGCGGCCACAGCACCGTGGCCTTGGCCTTGGCCTTGGCCTGAGTTTTCCGTCGGTCTGCTTCCTGGCCACCGCACACAGCGCAGGGATTTCGTGTTCCCGGCCGGACTGCTTTCGGTTGTTGGTTTTGTGGGGTTCAGTCCACACCCTTTCTTGTTCAGAGACCGCAGACCCTGGCATGGTGACAGAGGTCAAGGGTAGCCTCTGCCTGTGGGTATTGGCGGAGGAAGGAGAGAGGAATGTGCCCAGTCATCCCGGTTCTTGAGCAGCGAACTTAAACACTCGCTGAGTAAGACCCACCGTGACCTGTGTTTCCCTGAGGTTCTCATAGCCCACTCCATGCGCTGTCACCATGGGGGTGTCCTCCTCACTCCCTCGAGTTTTAATCTAGATTGTTAATCCAGATCATTTTAATCTAGATAATTCAGGGAGGGCCTCTCAGGTCTTGATTCCCAGGTATGGACCCGAGGACTGGTCCTCAGACAGACTCGGTGAGAGAGACTGCTCCAGTTCAGATTTGCAGACCTGTCCCCGGAGGTCGCCTTCCCTTTTCCTGGGGTGGGGCCTGGGCACCTGCGCTGGTTTGGGGTCCTTTTCCTAAGGAGCGCTCCGGGTGCGCCCCAAGCATCTCTGATTGCTGATGCTGCGCAGAGAGTTGTGCGAGGCTCAGAGGCAGCACTGCACACCACCAGGGTCCGTCGCGTGGACGCCGGGCAAGGGATGGAGCGCACATCTTTCCGAGGGTCTGATATCTGTACCTAGGTCTGCTCACCTGCCGTGTCCCCTCTCCACACAGGAGGACACGCTCTCTCCACGGGCCGTGCCCGGTGACCACGTTTGGACCAAAGGCCTGCGTACTGCAGAACCCCCAGACCATCATGTGAGTGCTGGGGTTGCTCCTTGGGAGGTCGTGCTGTCGCGGGATCGCCGCGCCGTGGGGTGTCCTGACATGGGGAGTGAGAGGTCGACTTGATGAGTCAGCAGGAGCCACAGGGCATCTCCACCGGCTCCGACGGACGAGGGGCCCCACTGCCCTGCAGGCAGCGGACGGGGGTCCGGCCAGGCTCTGCTTCTCAGGCACCGCAGGCCGGGTGGGCTTCGACTGTGATCTTTAGGGTTACTGGTTTGTTCTCTATAGTAAAAAGTCTGGGAGGAATCCGGTATATTTCACACGCTACACTGGCTGGGTCAGACATGCTTCTCCTTGAATTATCCTTTTTTTTTTTTTTTTGAGAGCGAGACAGTGCACGTGTGAGTGGGGGAGGGGCAGAGGGAGAGAGAGAACCTTCGGTAGGCTCCACGCCCAACACGGAGCGCGACTCTGAGACCGGAGCCGAAATCGAGTCAGACGCTCAACCAACTGAGCCACCCAGGCACCCCTAATTATTTTTAAAATACAGAGACATCAGTTGGATTTTTCAAAAGCCTGTGTTCGCTTTTGAGAGACACCCCACCGTACGGGTGCGGCTGTTCCTGGCGCTCTGGGTGGGGGCGTGTGGCCAGGACTCCCAGTGCCTCTGCGGTGGCCACGAGGTGCCCAGATGAGACACTGTAAAAACTAAGCAATCGAGGTTATTTGTCTGGACTCTCAGTGAGTCTCCAGCTTCTCCCATCTAGTACTTGGGGGGTTCCAGAGGGGCGAGAGTTTTGTGCAGGGCTCTGTGAGACGGTCTGGGTCTGGTTCATATCTCGTGAAAAACATACACTTACCGATGTTAGTGCTTTCTGTTAAACAGTCAGAATTCCATCCCACCCTGACCCTTGTGCCTTGCACCTTGTGACGAGCTTCCCAGCCTCCCTGCAGTCCAGGCCTCTTGAGGAACCCCCAACGGGACCCCCTCCTTCAGGGCGAGCTGTGGGGATCCCACATTTTACACAGGGGTGAGGCCCGTGGGTCCAGGTGTGCTTCCACGACTGGCTGGTCTGGGGGTCTTTGCTGTCTTTGACACAGCCCCAGCAGTGGGGACCCCAGGTTTCAGGTCACAGCCCTTCTGAACTGGTTCCGGGCGGTCAGCACAGGGGACCAGGACGGCACCTATACTGCCACCTCCAGGCTGCCCAGGGAATTGCTGTGCAAACTGGGACATCTTGTGACCCATGAAACCCAGTGATGTGGCGGCCCTGCCTCTTACAGACTCTGGGGGCCAAGCCTGGGCGCTGGAGTGAGGCCTCAGTGTCTCTGCTCCATCCAGGTGCTGTCTGCAGCCAGGCTCAGGACACAGACCTCTGCCCATCTGCCGCGGCCCCTCTGGTGCCCCTCAGCCCACTCTGTGCAGCAGCCCCGTGGGCAGGGGGCCCACCCAGGCGCCCCCAAACCCAGAGCCCCAGCTGCCTGCTGCTGCTCCAGCCCCGCCTCTCCCATTCCCCAGGCCTTCCTGTGTGCTCTGCCCAGCCTGGCCCCGTCTTGGCCTTTCACCAGCTGCCTGAGGGCCCCTCCCTACACTTCCTGGTCTTGGAAGAACTGTTCTCTCTCCTTGCCACTCAGTTCGGCCTAAGTGCCACCACGAGCGGCCTCTCACCGTGCAGCCTTGATTAGGTGTCATTTACTCCAGCTGAGCCACAGTCCCCCACCACCCCCCCCAGGGGGAGGTGTGTGTGGGCCTTGTGGGCCTCAGGCAGGTCAGATGGGTGGTTCAGTGGGGGACTCCAAGCAGAGGGGCAGATACCCCAGAAGGGCCCCTGGAGCTGCAGGTAGGGTTTGAGGAGTGAGCAGCCTTCTCGGCCCTTTCTAGCCCGTGTGCTCAGCACAGTCTGGTGGGACTGCCACTTCTGGGGGACAGGGCTCCTTTTCTCCACCTTGTACCTGCCCCTCTCCGGCGTGGAACCTGGCTGGGGCGGGTCTCCGCGTGTCCTAACCTAACATCTTTCCTAATGTGTGAAAACAAGATAGCGCAGAGGGCTGGATTACAAAGAAATTTTACTTCCTGTTTTATTGTCTAAAATTTCACCGTGAACGTGTGTGCGTCTTCTCTTATGTTGAAACGTGTGGAATTGCCAACAACTGATTACTTTTGGCTTACTAGGCAGTGGCTCAGATTGGTCAGGTGTCCTTGACTCCCATCTGACACCCACAGCCTCTGTGCTGGGGAAGGGTCAGCATCCCACCTTGCAGGTGACCCAGCAAGAAGCTGAGTCACGGTTGGCGCCCAGGACGCACTGTGGTGGCTTCGGCTGGGCACAGCCGAGTCTGAGGGCCAGAGGGGCCGTGGGCCGTGCCCACCTGAGTCAGCGGTGAGGGGGCTTTGACCTGGGCAGCGGTATGCGAGCCGCCCTTGCTTGTCCTGAGGCCCGCAGCCAAACGGTGACCGTGTTGGGGGAGCGCACCCCCCTCCATCTGACCCGAGGCCTGACAGCTCCTCCCACGGGGCCGAGCCGGTTCCACGGCCCAGCTCGGATTCCTGTGTGGCTGGGACGTGCCACTGCACCCGGGGCGCTGGACAGAGCACGTCCCGACCTCTGAGGGCGGCCGAGCACTATCAGCCAGCTTAGTGGGGAGCAGGGCCCCTCAGGTCCAGCTTTGCCGTTGAAAGTGATCCCAATGACTTTTTGTTTCAGATACATGATTGGCCAAGAGGATTGTGTGAACGGTGAAGAGATTAAATAAGATTTGTTTGATTTTTAACTTGAGGAAGCTTTTTGGCCTTAGTTGTTTTATACAGCCTCTCAGAAGTCACTCTCGGACTGTTGGGCTTTCAGGGCCGAGGTTGCAGAAATTAAGTTGTTAGTGCAGATGTGCAGTGGAGAGTTTTGGGGGCCGGTGTGACCGAAATGCTATGCACAAAGCAGCGGCGTCCTGCTCGTGAGCCATGCGTGTGACCTGGGCGGGCGATGAAGCCCATAGAGGATGTTATGAGCGACCCCTCCCTTTGCAGAGACGCCTGGAAAGGGTGAGTGACGGTCCGTCAGTAACTGGATGAGATCGGAAGCCACACCTCTCATACTGCTGATCTGGGTCGCGGTTTTGGAGGTTGTTTGTGGGGCTCTGAAATGTTCAAGGGAAGCCTCTGCCCCTCGAGGCACAACTTGGAGCAGGTGTCTAAGTTGGGGACTTGGTAGGAAAGGGAAGTCTTTCTGCCGACACACAGTGCGGCTTTGAGGACTTTGCTACCCGGCTGAGGGTCGTGGCCGGCCTGTGGGCGCTCTGCTCCCTGCAGCTCCTTTGCCATGTGAGTCCCAGCCGGTTCCAGGCGGGTGGGGATGGGTGTTCGCCGAGGCTCTACCAGGAGCCGGAGTCCCAGCTGGGGCGGGGTGGGGGGGGGGGTCTACCCCCTTGGGGCCCCGGTGCCCCCACCCCGACCCCCCCCCCCCCCCCCCCCCCCCGACCTCCTGTGGGACGCTGTGCCCTCAACGCAGACCCACCACCCATGCACCACGGTGTGCACGGCCTCCCCGCGTCCCCTGTACCGGCCGTGACTGAGTCAGAGCTCTGGGAACCCGAGAGGGCAGGGTGCTCGAGAGCCGTGTAAAAAATTAGACCCTGGGGTTCCTGGGGGGCTCCGTCGGTTGAGCATCCGACTCTTGATTTCGGCTCAGGTCGTGATCGTGATCCCAGGGTCGTGGGATCGAGTCCCCTGTTGGGCTCTGCGCTGAGTGTGGAGCCTGCTTCTCTCTCTCTGTCTCTCCCTCACCCCCCTCTTTCTGCCCCTCTCCCCAGCTCATGCATTTCTCTCTCCCAAAAGGAAAAAAGAATCAGACCCTATTATTTGCGCAGTGTTCAGTTCACAGAAAAGTGAGGTGAGGCTGCAGAGATTCCCCTGTGCCCCCACCCCCACCGTCACCCTCCCCTCCGAGGGGCCGTGTGTGGCTGCGGATGAAGGACGGGGACATGGCGTGGTCTCCCTGGTCTACAAAGGGTCACTCGCTGCTGTGCTCTGTGATTTGGACAAAGGTGTAATGATGTGTGGTCACTACTGGGGTCACACTGAGTAGTTTGCCCTATGATCCTGCCACCCACCTTTTTAATTTATTTTTGAGAGAGAGAGAGAGAGAGAGAGAGAGAAAGTAGAGAAGGATCAGAGAGACGTGGGGCAGGGGGGAGAGAATCCCAAGCCGGCTCCGCACTGTCAGCATGGAGCCTGACTCGGGGCTCAAACCCATGAAACCGGGAGAGTTGGACGCCCAACCGACTGAGCCCCCCAGGGGCCCCTGCCACGCAGTTTTTAACAGTGTGAGTTTTAAGTGTAAAAGTTAAGGGTCACCTGAGTCATTCATGCCGTGGTGTAGCTACGGGGCCACATCCCTCCCATACAAGTCCGTAGGAAGCCTGTGTCCTGGGGCGGGGGGGGGGGGGTCTTCAGTGGTCCCTGGGGACAGAGTCCCCAGTCGGCTGGTGTGAGTGTTTGTGGGAAGCCTGCTGTCCTCGATGCAGGGAGGGTACGGAGCAAAGAGCAGCTCTGGTTGGGTCTCCTCTCGAGCGTCCGTGGGTGAGGTTTGCTCCAGAGGAGCCATCAGTCCGTGAGCATCGTTAGAGCAGGCGCACGTGAGGTCCAGGGCTGCACAGGCGAGTCATGGGTGCAGCGGGCAGCAAGGGCCCGGAAGGGTGGGGGGGGGGGGCGGGCAGTGGGACGAGCAGCTAGAAGGAGGGCAGCCTGCAAGCATTCCAGGGGGTCAGGCCCGTACTGGCCACACAGGCCCCCGGCTGAGCGGTGTGAGCAAGCGGCTTCCAGCACTCGGCCCGGGGCCCGAGAAGACCTGTGTCCTCGGACGCAGTGCACCTGTGCAGACGCTCCTCTCCCCTCACAGGCACATCCAGGACCCTGCCAGCCAGCGGTTGACGTGGAACAAGTCCCCAAAGAGTGTTCTTGTCATCAAGAAGATCCGGGACGCCAGCCTGCTGCAGCCCTTCAAGGAGCTCTGTGTGTACCTGATGGAGGCGAGTGAGCCAGGTTGGGGGGTGGCGACCCCAGGACTCCCCTCTGCACCCCCGCTTCATTCACGTTGGCTGGATTCCACTCTGGAGATTGGGGGACATGCTTGCCAAGGCTCCGTGCTCACTGGGGCCGTAGATGGAGGGGGGGAGCTGGCCTCCTGCCCAGGTGCTGGCTCTCTGATCCCAGAGCTGGCCAAGTCAGGAGGCCAGTTTCAGGGAAGTGACTTCCATAGGCGGGTGTCACAGAGCCTCCAGAGAGAGGGAAATCTGGATGAACAGGTCGGAAGCAATCTCTGGCCAGGACTAAGGCATCAGTTTCTCTCTTCATCATAAAATGCTAAGGCCTACTCCTGAAATCTACTACGCTGTTGGTTAACTAACTTGAATTTCAATAAATAACTTTATTTTTATTATTTTTTTATAAAGAGGTATGATTTAAAAAAATTTTTAATGTTTATTCACTTTTGAGAGAGAGCATGAGCAGGGGAAGGGCAGAGAGAGAGGGAGACACAGAATCCGAAGCAGGCTCTGGGCTCCGAGCCGTCAGCACAGCGCCTGATGCGGGGCCTGAACCCACGGACTGTGAGATCCTGACCTGAGCTGAAGTCAGACGCTTAACCGACTGAGCCACCCAGGCTCCCCTAAATAAATATATTTTTAAAAATAAGATGCTGAGACTTAAAAGGAGGCTTTACACAAGAGCAGCGTGACCTGAACTGGCTCTTGCTGGCCGAGCTGATGTGCTTGTCTCCCTTCCAGGAGAACAACATGATTGTGTATGTGGAGAAGAAAGTTCTAGAAGACCCTGCCATAGTGAGCGATGACAACTTTGGACCAGTGAAGAAGAAATTCTGCACCTTCAGAGAAGGTGAGTTTGTCCTCGGCTCTGTCACGCAGCTCATTGGCATCATTGCCCTGGACCTGGCGGAAGCTTCTAGTGTTCTGCCCCATCATGGGCAGCAGCGCCCTGTGGGGCCTCGAGGCCTACTGCGACTCCTTTTCTTGTGTTTGTTGTTCTGTTTTCTAGATTATGATGACATTTCCAATCAGATCGATTTCATCATATGCCTGGGAGGGGATGGGACCCTGCTTTATGCCTCCTCCCTCTTCCAGGTGAGGTTTCCAGGTGGTTCCAGTCTCGGTGTTGCGTGAGGAGGCGCTTCCCCAGTGAGGGTTTCCATCCCTTGTACCTGTGGCTTTATACCACGGGGCGAGGAGTTTCGGTGCTCTTACTCTGACACAGACCAGATATATTTATTAGTTGGGTTATTTGGCCAAAGAGCAGGTTTGCAAGTCACGGCAAATGACGCCTCTGCTCCGTCCAGGTCTCCGGCCAGATAGGCCCGGCGTCCCCGTCCTCCGTCGGGGGCATGGGGTCGGTGGGAGAGGTGGGCATACAAGCCCGGGCTGGGCAGAGGGAGTGGCCAGAGGAAGGGGGGGCTGCTGCGGCTCCTCAGGCGCGTGGCGCCCACAAAGCAGAGCTGGCACCTCGCGGCCAAGGTGACGGGGCCACGGCAGAGGTGGGGATCTGCCCAGGAGCCCACCTTCCCTCTCCGCAAGGCAGGCCCCGGAGGGCCCTGGCTGGGGTGTGTTAGAAGGTGAGGCATGCGGGCTCCCCTAGGATCCTGCGTGCTGCCCTCAGCCCCTCCCCCTGCCCTCCGTGCCCAGCAGGCAGGTCGGTCCTGTCGCCTTTGTTTCTCGTCGGCTCTGTACACCACTACCCCCCCCCCCCGGCCTCCCGGACCGCCTGCTGACCTCCCGTGTGGTCACTCGAGTCGGCACCGACCATGCACTCGTGTGCCTGTCCCCTCCCGGGGACGGTCAGGGGCGGGTCCGTCGGTGCCGGGGTCAAGTCGGGTGGCTTCTGAGTGGATCGGCCATCTGACCGACCTGCCTCGTTGGCTCACAGGGCAGCGTGCCTCCGGTCATGGCGTTCCATCTGGGTTCCCTGGGCTTCCTGACCCCCTTCAACTTTGAGAACTTTCAGTCCCAAGTTACTCAGGTGATACAGGGTAAGTGGGAATGTTCTGGAACCCTCAAGCAGTTCTGAATATGGGATTGTCTTCTCACTTGGCGTTTGGGTTTTTCAACGACATACAGAACAACACTTCGTAAGTGTTTCGGGATTCAGAGATTTAAAAATTTTGCATGGTTCAGACATTTCTGCCTAACGTTGAGAAGTTGAGGCCACGCGTGAAGGTACGTGTGTGCTGGTTGGTAGCAGCAAAGTGACTTTCACAGAAGGCACAGACGTGTTGCTCTGGAGCTGGGAGGAGGTGGGCGGCCCCCGGTCAAGCAGGGGTGCCTCTGCCTCCTGTGGGTGCCGCCACCCCATCCCTGCTGGCCCCCAGGCAACGCGGCTGTCATTCTTCGGAGCCGGCTGAAGGTCAGGGTCGTGAAGGAACTCAGAGGGAAGAAGACGGCCTTCCCCAACGGGGTCAGCGAGAACGGAGTGCTGGCCGCGGAGGCTGGGAAGCAGGCCATGCAGTACCAGGTGTGTGGGCACGTGCCCTCGCGGACCCCAGGCCTTGCCCTGCCTGTCACGTGGCCTCGGGGAAAGGCACAAGGTGGGAGGACTCCGGAGTGGGGTGAGGGGTGGGAGGGGCCTGACCTCAGGGCCTCCCAGAGAGTCTGGGAACAGTGCGGGTGCCTATTGGGCAGACCACCCGGGGCAGCCCTGCCAGCCCCTCCCAGTGTGCGGTGGCCTCGTCCCCCCAGGTCCTGAACGAGGTGGTGATCGACAGAGGCCCCTCCTCATACCTGTCCAATGTGGATGTCTACCTGGACGGGCATCTCATCACCACGGTACAGGGTGACGGTAGGTGGGCGCCCGGGGTCCCGCGGGGTGGGGGTGGGCAGGAGCCCACGGAGAGTGACCCTGCGGCCTGTCCACCAGGGGTGATCGTCTCCACCCCGACGGGCAGCACGGCGTATGCGGCCGCCGCCGGGGCCTCCATGATCCACCCCAACGTGCCGGCCATCATGATCACGCCCATCTGCCCCCACTCGCTGTCATTCCGGCCCATCGTGGTCCCCGCGGGGGTCGAGCTGAAGGTCAGAGTCCACCCTCCACCCTTTCTGGCTTGAGCTCTCGTCTGGGACCTGCGATGCTGACCACCCCCCGTGTCTCCGGCTGAGACCCCAGCACGTACTGGGCCGTGGGCCCTTCCTCCCTTGCTGGGTGTGGGAGGGGGCCTCACTCTCATCCTTGTCTGTCCAGTTGGCAGGGGCAGCCCTGAGAGCCGGGCTGTGGGCCCTTAAGGGGCAGAGACAGTCCCTACTGGGTGGGGGCAGGGTGAGGGACGCCGAGCGAGGACTTGGGGGCCTTGGGCCTGGCGTGCACATGGCACCCGCTGCTGCTCCCCCGTCTCCACTGTCTGCCTGCCTGCCTCACGCTCCCTCCTTCGGTCCGCCCTAGGCCGGTGTGCCCCGGCCGAGAGCCCCAGCCGTGAGCCCTGGTGCACAGGGCCATGTCTGCAGGTCACAGAGAGGACTGGACCCAGACCCCTGGCCAGTGTCCCTAACCCTGGGCATATGGGCAGCGGCTGGGCCTCACCACCGCCGGTCCTGTTTCCCAGGGCTGGTGTCGGCGAGACATAGCTAATCCCTTCAGGGCCTGGGACCGCCTTGGCATAGTGTGGGTGCCATGGACACTTCCATGGTTCCTCCCGACCGGTGCTGCCCTCCCGGGGTGGGGGTCGAGGTGCTCAGCGGCACTCACGAGCCCACACCTACCTGTCCCGCCTGACCCCTTCCTTCAGATCATGCTGTCACCAGAAGCCAGGAACACTGCGTGGGTGTCCTTCGATGGACGGAAGAGACAGGAGATCCGCCACGGAGACAGGTGTGTGCGCCGTGGGGCCGGGGCAGGGTGGGCCCGGGAGGTACAGGCCCCGTAGGCAGAGCTCCGTCACCGGGGAGGGGATGCGGACTGGTGCCTGTCGGGCAGCTGGTCGCACGCGCAGCATGTGGCCCCACGTTCTGCTGTACGTGGGTGACAGACCCACGGTCCCTCCCCCCGGCCCGCCCTGGAGCTCCGCTGAGCCCCCCGCCCATAGCTGTCTAGAAGGTGGGACAGGCCCCGGGCTGTGAAGCAAGTAGCGTGAGCAGCACAGAAACGGTTCCCAGCCGGGCTGGGGTGGACATGGCCCTTGGGGAGGGGTCTCAGCCTGGTGCCGGGGGCTCACCTGTTTGTGCCGCGTTGCCCCCCTGCCTCAGCATCAGCATCACTACCTCTTGCTACCCACTTCCCTCCATCTGCGTCCGAGACCCCGTGAGCGACTGGTTTGAGAGCCTGGCGCAGTGTCTGCACTGGAACGTGCGGAAGAAGCAGGCGTACTTCGAGGAGGAGGAGGAGGAGGAAGAGGAGGAGGAGGACGAGGACGAGGGGGAGGAGGGGGAGGAGGGCTAGGCCTGAGCTCCTGCTGTCCACACCCGGGACCCCAGAGTCCCAAAGCTGTTCTGCTGCCTCCTTCCCCTCGCCCTCCGGGAGCGGGCTGGCCTGAGCACGTGTGCTGTGCGCCCCGCGCGCGGGCGTCACGGGTCCCGGCGCTTTGGTCTGTAGCCAGAGGAAGAGCCGCTTTGGTCTGCCTTTCGTCGACCAGATCAGCTGTTTTTAACATTTTAAATCTGACTTCTTTTTTGCATTTCTAAACAAGAAAAGTGAGTGACGGCGAGGGACTCTGAAGCAGACACCATGCTTACCCATGTTGTGGGTCAGAGCCTGGGTCCTGGGGCAGGGACACCCAGCTGGACGTGCTTTTTGTAATTTCTTGTCAGGAAACTTGTGCTTAAATCAGTCTGTTGAAATTCAGAGGGGATCAGAGCGGATTGATCTGTCTTTCCATGTCGAAAATAAATGTCTCGTAGCCAAAAATCTCACTTTAAGCTACCACGATTTCCCCCTTAAATCTTGCACCTTTTTCGCCGAAAGGCCTCGGAGGGGACGCTTCTGCAGAGAGCGGTTTGGCTTGATCGGCTGACGAGCGGAGGGTCCCCTCTGCCTCCTGCGCCTCGTCTGGGCCTCCCCGCCGTGGCCCCCGGCCCTCCTCTCCTCCCTGCTGTGGGGTGACAGGTGCCAGCGCCGTGGCCCCACCGGCCCGGCGGACGCCTGGTAGGGGGTCAGGCCCACACACATTCCTCACGAAGCCGGGACGGCGTCCTCTGCACCCTGGAAGATATTTTAAATCCTGTGTCTACTTCGTAGAGATGATTTTAAACTTTCTGAACTGCTACGTACAGATTTTATTGTACACTCTGAAGATTTAAGAGGGAAGGGCATTTGTACTGTTGGGAAATGAAGCCTTGTTCCGATGTTTGCACGCGTTCTGTGTGACGCCGTGTGCTGGGACCACTGTGTTCCGCGTCGTCGCCGTAGAGGTGACGGTCCAGGAGCGAAGGGTGCTTCTCCCTCAGGAAGCCACCGGTCAGCGAGGAAGGCGGTGCTGGGACGTGTTGTGTCCTTTCCGCTCTCGCTTCTCCCTGGGCGTCTTGGGCTTGCGAGGAAACTGCCACCATTCCAGTGGCCCCTCCGGCCGCGCGGGGCGTGTGCGCGGGGCGTGCACGCGGGGCGTGCGCGCGGGGCTCCGGCCCCTGCTGGTTGTCGCCTGACAGATGTCATCCAGTCGGGCGTCTGTTTCGGAGTGACTGATTTCTCTTTGGGCTACATCATTAACCTGTTAAGGTGGCAAGAACGGAAGGGACGGGGCTGGGCCTTGCTCTCCTGGAGGGTCACAGGCCTCATTCTGGAGCTGCTGCGAAGGCTCCGGGGCCCCGGGTGCCACCACCCTCGGCCGGGGGTCTCCGCACGGCGGGCTGTGCAGCCTGGGCGCCCGCGTCGGCCGCGTCCGTGGTTCAGCGTCTGCGGAGCTCGGCAGTCGACGTGGGGCTCGAAAGGGAGGTGGGCCCTCACCGCCACCTGCCCACGGGCACGGGGCACCGCCAGAGGCCCGCCGCCCGGCCTCCCTGGGGCAGAGAGGGGGCCGAACCAAAACTTGGCTTTAGGTCCAAAAGAGAGTGGCGTTCGGAGTTCAGGCCGTTCATTTAGACAAAAAAAAAAAAAAAATGCAAGTCTGAAAGGAGCATGATTTGGAGTGATTTAGAAAACTTGGGATTTTTTGAAGTAAATTCTTAATGTTTCATATTGTTAATATCTTGAAAATTTGTTAAATGTTGTCGAAAGCCTTATTACTATTTTCAGATTCTTTCAATAAACAGACTTGTTTAAAAAGTTGGATTGAGTTACAACTGGTTTGGTTCTTTGTAACCAGTGCACAGACACTAGGGGGGTAGCCCCAGCCCAGGGCTTCTGGAGGCCGCCGACCCCCTGAGAACCCTGTGGAGAGCATGGGAGGGGCAGGGTCCCACCCAGGCAGCCTCCACCTTCAATCCCACCCCACATGGCCCCCAGCGGGCCTGGAGCTCGGAGGGCGGTCCAAGCCCTGGGGGGCGGAGCCCACAGCAAGGACTGGCCCCTGGGGAAATCAGAGGGCTGGACCCAGGAGCCCCAGAAGCTGTGACGGCCTCATCACGGCTCAGTCTGGGCCTGTTGGGGTCCGTCAGGCTGGGCCAGGCCCTGGGGCACGCTCACCTCCCTCCTCCCGTGTCCTCTTGACCGGTTCCATGAGGTCTTGACCAGGCTTTGGGGGGGGGGGAGGGGGAGGCGGCAAAACTTCGCCAGGAGCCAAAGTGCCTGCAGGTGCGCACGAGGACGCGGACGGACCGCGTGCTGGGCGCCCCGGCCACCTGCAGAGGCCCGAGGCCCGGAGTGGGCGGCTGAACTCCCCTTCCTCCCAGGCCAGCCCTGGAGCATCGGCCTCCTGGGCCCTGTGTGGTCCTGGCCTGGCCCGGCCTGAGCCGTGACCGCCTGCTGTTCTCCTGGCACGCGCGTGGCGGCGCATCACCTCGCTGCTCGGGTGTCCGCCGCCCCTGGGTCGGCCTGTGCCTGGAAACGGGCACCTGCGGTCAAGTTTGCACAGGTGTCACGGGCAGCAGGGCGGGACAGCTGCTGGAACGCGACTCCGGCAGCCGGGGCTTTCTGAGGCCCAGGCTCTCGGGATTCGGGCCAGCAGTGTGTGTGGAGCCCAGGCGGGGCCTTGTCTCCTCGGCTGGCAGAGGGCCCGCTTGGAGGGTGAGGGCCAGAACCAGCCGGCCGGAAGGGCTGGCTCACTGGTGGGCACCGGTTCTGCCCACGAGGCCGCACGTTTCAATAACGGCTGTTGACCTGCGAGCCTTGGGCCTTCCTGCTTTGGGGAGAGGGGGGTGGGGGGCACAGAGGCCACAGGCCAGCTACCCCAGGACACCTCCTGACCGGGCCGTGGGCCACTTCTGTGGGCTCAGGTCTCAGGCCTCCCCAAGCGTCCGGTCTTCGGGGCCGTAGCCTCGGACACCTGCCCTTTGCTGGCTGCTTCGGAGGAGCACGAGGTCAGACCCCGCCCCGGCCTCTGCTGAGTGCCCCCACGCCCCCCCACCCCCACCCCCGGCTGGCCTCCCCTCCCTCCCAGGCCAGGCCACAGGCCGCGTCACAGCGGTGCTGTCCCAAAGAGCAGCGGTTCCCCCACCCAAGAGCCACCGGGTACCAGGAACCGGCTAGTCCGCCTGGGGGTGACGGGGACGCGGTCGGGGGGACCAGCTGGAGGAGCACAGAGGATGGGTGGGGGGTGACAGGGATGTGAGAGGAGGCGGGAAATGCACAGTCACCACATGGAGGAGAGCAGCCACTTCTGGCACATTCTCCTTCAGAAAGATCCAGGCCAGAGCTTGGGTGGTTTTCAGAATCATGGAAACTGAGGATTTGGTGGGAAGAGTGGAGGTGGGTTGAGGATGGGGTGGGGGGTGGGGGGAAAGAGAGGGACGCTGCGCAGGCTCTTTGGCGAACGTGCCTCCCGTGGAGGCCTCCAGTCGAGGCTGGCTTCCCTCCCCAGGGGCATGGAAGGCGAAGGCCGGTCTGACCTCAGCCCATGGCTCCCTGCGAGCGCAGCGAGGCCAAGTGTGGCCGGGCCCTGCTCACCAGCACTTCTCCCCAGACACTGGCCTGACGGAGCAAGGGAGCAGCTCCCTAACCCTGTGGTCTTGCTTCCATGACCTTTAACCCCACGGATCCCAGGGGCTGAACCCCAGGGACAGAGGCTGCAGGTGCCCCCACCAGGACGAGGCCACGGTAGGGGATGAGGCGGAGTGAGCCCAGGACAAGGGTCACAGCGTGGGGCGTGGGGAAGGGCCAAGGGCTCCCAAGGAGGGCTCACATCCCTGGTTTGGGCACAGGTGGTTTTTCCCAACCAGCTGCTGGTCAGTGCTTCCTGGCAACCTCGGCAGGGGACCTGGCGGCACAGGACAGGGGTCCCCAGCCCTTTTCCCCCCTGGTGAACATGACCCAGGCCCTATTCTGTGGGCTTTTTGGGATCCTGGGTCCCTGCCTGCACTTCTCTGCTGTCATCACTGTCGCCTGGGAATTGGGCTCCTTTGGGCCTACAGGTGGGGCCATCAGACCGGAGCCTAGACCCAGATGAAGGCTGGTGAGAGCAGGGAGGGCTGGGAAGCCAGGAGGTGCACACAGAGAAGCCCAGCCATCCGGGAAGGACCCAGGAAAGTGGTGCAGCAGAGCTTGCTGTGGACGCGTGCCTTCCCGCTTTCTAGAAAATCACCCTGTATTTATTTATAACTTTTTTTTTAATGTTTATTTACTTTTGAGAGACAGAAAGACTGCAGGGGAGGGGCAGGGAGAGAGGAGAGAGGCAGACACAGAATCTGAAGCAGGGTCCAGGCTCCGAACCGTCGCTACAGAGACCGACGTGGGGCTCGAACCCATGAACCGCAAGATCATGGCCCGGGCCTAAGTCGGACACTTAACTGCCTGAGCCACCCAGGTGCCCCCCAAAATAATTCTAAAATGAGTATATTTTCTCCCTCAGACTAGTGAACAGCGCCCGCAGGCCGGGCTTTTCCTGGGCAAGTCTGCAGGGCGGGCCGAACGGGGCTGGGAGCGGCCAGGGCTGGCCAGGGGCCTGGCCCAGAGGTGACAAATACACAAAGAAAGCAGAAGTGAAATTCCTGCTCACTTACGTGCCTACCTCAGAACATACCATGGCGCGGTCTTCCTCATCCCACCCTTCCGAACGAAGTTCACAGAGTAGGTTTTTCTTTGCACAAAACCCTGAGATGCTTGACGACTGCCCAGGGGTCCTGGGGTTTAGGGGTCAGTGAGTCATTTGTAGCCAAATAACTTCAAAAGCAAATTTATAAAAACTCAAAATTGTTACAGCAAAATCTTCTTAGGTTTCATCTGAGGAAACGGTTTTGAAATGATGTCATGTGACTCTGGGGACCTTCCCCTCCCTCCTGGGCTTCCAGTCGGCCAGGGAGCAGTGCCGTCCAGGCCTCCAGCCACCGCCTGAGGAGGCCTTGCTGCATGGACACACCCCAGAGTTGCTATCCTGTCCCTTTCTCTTTGTCCCGTCAACAGTTTGTCTCTAAATAGCCAAAGGAAACACTGCTGCCTATTAAGGTCGCATGAGCAATTTTACCACCGGGCCGTGTCATCGGGTCATTCACGACAGACATCTCAACAACTTCTTCCTTTAACTGGGTTCCAGGAAGCAGGATTTCGGGAGAAAGACTACAGACCGGCCAGGATTCTCCATACTCTGCTCAGTTTCAAATAAGGCCATTTAAATAATGCCTCTGCTGATTTGCAGTGTAGATCCCAACGCAGACGTGAATCAGGACACAGTCTTCACAAGGGAGGGGCCTGACCAACAAAAGGACTGAAGTTGGGGCTCCCCTGAAACCTGCCTACGAAGCTGTAGCTGGGGCATCAGGTGCTCCGCCCAAGCCCTGCCGCCC